GGCCACGCCCACCCAGTCTGCCACGTCCACTGCAGCCACGCCCATCCAATGGCCACATCCACCCAGTGGGCCACACCCACCCAGCACCCGACAATAAATGTGGGGTTTGGGTTGCAGTTTTGGCACTCAGTCTCTAAAAGGTTCACCATCATTGAATTCATAGGTTTGTTTCTATTTATTCAGACTTTTAACAAGTAACTCTTCCTTCTAGTCAAGTTTGACTCCTGATGACTTTGGACAATTATGTACATAATTCTCGTGGTAATAGGATAGAAGTAATTTGCCACTGCATTTCCCGAGGTTATTTTAACTTTCCATTCTAGCCTACAATCCTAATATTTTTTGCTAACTCCCAATCAAATATTAACCAAGTTTAACCCTTATCTTAGGAGTGCAAATTAAGGTTTGTAAAAATACCTTGTGACTGGCAAAAAGTGAGAAATAGGCAGTGCTTTTTTTGTAAAAAAAAAAAAAAAAAAAAAAAAGGTGCCGGAACTCACACACATCATACAACCCGCTTTGCCTACCCTATAAGGTTCCATCCAAAAAAGGTGCCGGAACTCCGTTTTGGATGTTCTATGACAGTGGTTCTCAACCTTTTTAATGCCGCGACCCCCAACCGGTCGTAAGTCGAGGACTACTCAACCGGTCGTAAGTCAAGGACTACTCAACTGGTGCAGCACCGTTTGCAGAATGGGACTTTTGGCGGGCTCAGCAGGGCAGAGACAGCCTGGACAATTCCTATTGGCTTTTGAAAGCCAATAGAATTAGACTCTATTCAAGAGAATCTATTCTATTGGCTTTCAAAAGCCAATAGAATAAAAGGGAGTAGCACAGCTAAGGAAAAGGGGGGGAAAAATGGCGGACTGCGTTGTTTGGCGACCTCCGTGAAATGGCCGTTCGACCCCAAATGGGGTCCCGACCCACAGGTTGAGAACCACTGTTCTATGAGAAAAAAAAGCCCTGGAAATAGCCAATAGATTTAAAAGCAAAAGGACTTGTTACAGTATACGGAAAGAAAAAGGGAACTGCGCTGATTATGAAACTTGTATCTCTGAACACTGAAAGGGTGGATTTCTTGATTTTTTTCAGAAACATGATTGTCAGTACATAAAACTGAAAGCAGTTATTGTTTTTAAAATATTTTTTTCCTTATTCAAAATGATATGTCTATGCTCATGCTCATTTATGTTCTCTGACAATTTGCTGGGTACTGGAATTCTTTTTTTCTTAATAGCTGAAAGACAGATGCATTCAGCTGCAGTATTTCGTTTCAAATTAGACAGCATGATATTCATATACAGTCTGAAACACAAACACCAACAGGGCAGATAGCAGACGTATGGTAATATCATGTAGGCTTTTCTGATTAGTTTCTACTTTTTAAAATAATTGACAGTTTTCACATATTGTTTTCTTATCACTCTATTACAGCCAAACATTATGGAAAGTAATGTTGCAGGATCCAATCTGGGTCAGACTCATGCTGGAGACCTGTCCTCAGCGAACTTCTCTCCACACATTCCAATAGAAGTTCCCTGAAGACTAAACCCTCTGGTCCCAGTGACTGACCCAGACTGAATTCTGTAACATTATTCTGGGACACGTATATTTGCTCTCATTCAGGAAAGTAATGAGCTTAAGATACCATATTATTTGAATATTTGTGCATAGAAAAGCTTTTGCATGATAAAAGCAATTAGAATGATAGCATCATACACATATAATAAGCTTCCTTTTTCAGGTCCAATGTCAGCATTATCACCCTAAGAAGCACCTTCTGGAGCCTGTCTGACCCAGTACAATAAGCACTTGAATAAGATGGGACACAAATTTTAAGAAGCATATAGCACTCATTTGGACTTTTTTTTTCATTAACCACAAGCCATTTATTTTTTTTTAAGTGAATCAACTTATCATCCCAATTCCTAGTATGTAAGTAGATAACAATTTTTAAAAGTTTATTTATATAGTAAATTTGGCAAGTGAATATGCAAGAATGAAGGCAAATATACTTAAGAGCCGAGGGTTTGGCAGCACAAGGAAACGACGGCAAATCATCAGCCATCAACACACCAATCAGCCAATATGAAGGCACCACAGAAACATAACCACAAAATAGCCCAAAACATGTAATCTAGTACAGAGAAATTCTCTGAAGATGTGAGTCTGAAAGGTCAGAAGTGTATATCTCGGGTCCCAGTGACCAACCCAAATTCAGTCTTGCATGAATATGCAAGATCTATCTTCATCATCAAATAATGAGAAAGTAAAATGATGGTTATGTACTGACAGAATGCACAGATATGTCTGGTAGAGTTATTTAAAAATCTTTTTACTCCATATTTTAATATTACAATAGGATTCACATGGCAATATACTTTGTGCTGTTTAAACTGATTTGCTATGCGATTGTAAGAAGATAAAGCTTTACACTATATAACTAGACATAAAATTCTTTGGATTGTAGCCATTATTGGAAGGAAGTTTTATTGATTAAGTATGTATAGCATCAGAAAGCCTCTGGGGTATATTTAAAAATACATTAAATCACGATACAACTAAATAACATTATTTATCAATCAAGAAATATATTACCAAGAATGAATCAATTTATTTAATTCTATTTTACCACAATTCTAGGATGAAGGAATAGACAATAACAGTTCTGTATTTAAAAGATTATAGAAATCAGAAGGCATTTTTCCTATTATAATTACAGCATCCACCTCTAAATTTATAACATGGTAAACCATTTACTGCAACCTGTGTTAAGAATTTCAGAATTAATGAAAGACAGTAAGTGAGACAGGATATTTTAATGCTTTAAAAAAGCTGAAAATGTTAACTGCATGAAAGAATTTCAAAGCTAAAATTTGTAATCTATTTATATAAGTAGAGCCCATCAAAAGTGGACCACGACAATCACAGAATAGTCACTCACTCCTACCTTTAATAGGAAAATCCAGTTTCATTTAAAATTTTTCATCTATGCTCCTGATTAAAATTTACAAACCTGCTCAATTGCAAAGTATTTTTTTTTCAAATTAGACACAGTACATTGCTTTTTTAAAGATGTTTTCAAACAAATTTCTGCTGTACAATCTACAGAAAGCTATTGAGGGGAGGAGTTCATTGTCCTGTGGAATTTTTATTCTGCTGCTGTTAAAGAAAACTGAAAAACAAGATCTAATACAGTCTGTAGTTTCTAAGACCATGACTTCTTCTATTGAAAGACCATGATGGCTTTGCTGATCAAAAACTATACACTTTCCTTAAGGAGGAGAATCAGAATCTTTATTACAGTCACAGACTAGCACAAAAGTTAAACATTAAAATAAATTCATTCTCTAAAATTTATATTTGTAAGGAGGAGACTACATGGCTCCTTGGATACTCATGGACCTGGCAACACTTCCTTTACCATCTGTTAGTCTCCCTTCTACTCCTATTTTTAAGTAAAAAAGTAAAAAAAAATACTTTTTTAAAAAACAAAGCTAATTTAATAGGAAGCAAAACACTCACATATAGCAACATCTTTATTTATTATTATTCCCAAATATATTTATGTGCACAGAGGTCTCATACATGTTCTTAGAAAAGAAATGCTGAATAGTCACGGCCTAGTGATTTGTCTACAAATGAAATCAGGTCTTGAGTTTTAAAGGATCATAGCAATCTGGGGTAATAATCCCAAGTTGTTTGTGAGGTATATTCTGGCAAATGGGTATACTGTGACTTATGCCCTCTGTGGCAACTACTAATAAGTAATACAGTGACACAAATTTTTTATACAAAATACTAATTTTATAATATTGTGGATCATGTTTACAGTGGTTTTAAAAATGTTTTAGCTTCATTGCAAGCTGACAAATCACTAAAATACATAGTGTATTTTAGTATATGTACTTTCATGTGCATGTTTGTGTGTGTGTGTGTGTGTGTGTAAAACAGACTCATGAAATCAGATCAGTTTACTCAGACTAGCCTCTTTCCCATAATGGCATAAAATCTATAAAAAGTGTATACAGGAGGCTAAGGCCATACCTTTGTCCTGCTGTTGTTCCTTAGCAGCTGTAAGAAGCAGCCATTGATATCCTTATTGTCCATAAATTGATTGAATATTCTTTAAAGCCATTTAAGTAGCTATCACAATATTTTGGAGCATCTCATTTTATAAATGTATAATGCACTTTGTAAAATATTTTATTAGATGACTCTAAATCCCATTATTATGAGATAAACTTCCTTGTATCTATTTTCTGTGTACCATGCATAATTTAACTGTTTCTTCTATTGATCCTCCAAAAGTAAAACTGCATTGACAGGTCCATGAAATCATTACAAATTGAGCTTAAGTCAAAGGAGGTTTTGACAAACTGATTTTCATTTAAAAGATTTCAGAGTTAAAGAAATCCCCATCCAACTGAGAACTGACATTTTAAAGTTAAGCAAACTGACAACTGCACCAGCTTAATTTTCAGAATCTGAATATTCAGGATTGGGTTCTGAAGTTTATTGCAGCATTCTTTTAAGCAATGTCCTATTTATTAAATAACCAATAACTAATAACCAAAAGCTAACATGGGTTTGTGAAAAACAGATTATGCCAGAAAAATCTTATTGCATTATTTGACAAGATGACAAAATTAGTGGACCAAAGGAATGCTGTGGATATAATTTACTTGGAAGGCATTTGATAAAGTAGACCACAACCTACTACTTGATAAGATAGAAAAATGTGGGTTAGACAGCATCACCATCAGATGGATTCATAACTGGCTGGCCAACCACACTCAACGTGTAGTCCTCAATGGAACTGCATCTACAAGGAGGGAAGTATGCAGTGGGGTATCCCAAGGTTGTTTTAGGCCCAGTACTCTTCAACATCAATTTTCCTGACAGTTAGAACAATTAACTAATGAAACAACTTGCCTCCAGAAGTTGTGAATGCTCCAACATTGGAAGTTTTTAAGAAGAGATTGGACAACCATTTGTCTGAAATGGTATAGGTTCTTCTGCTTGAGCAGGCGGCTGGACTAGAAGACCTCCAAGGTCCCTTCCAACTGTGTTAGTCTATTCTGTTCTGTTCTATTCTACTGGAGAAACTGTTAAACCATAGTAAATTCACAAAGTAATAAGAAAAATTTCATATATGTCTCAGTATTACTTTACTGATTTTGAATGAAACGTCTCTTATGGTTTAGTAGTAGGACATCTGTTGTTTTCTTAATTGCAAATAGAACAATATTTATGCAAAGACAAATTGGACAAAGATTGGATTATAATTAGACTCTGAAAATACGGTACACTGTGTAATTAATAACACCAAATCAAAGGGACTGCCCATGTCATAAACTATTATCAAAATTAGTTTTTTTCAGAGAATTTATTTCAGTTTATATACATGTATATACTGTATGTGTGTGGGTGTACAAATGTACACAGTGTTACATAACTCACTAAAGAAGTGTATATGGGATTTCCAGATGTTCTGTCGTTAAGCTGTCAATCAGAATCTGAACAATTCAGGTTCAGTAATATGCCCTCATTAGAACTCTGATGTAACTAAAATTCAAAGCATCCTAACCGCTCGTTTTCTCAAGGTTAGTAATATTATTCTTGAATTCATTTCAGGAAAGATGGGTGCATACACTGATATTAAGACTATAATCTTACAATGCTTTTGAGTAACCTAAGTTAATAAGCATTTATCGGTAGCGCTGTTCAGATCATTCAGTCAATGAATCCCATTACTTTACCTAGATCCACTTAGGAAAAGGTCCCTTATCGGCCTGCCCAGGACCACAGCTATAAATCTGGTGCAGATATAGGACAGAATGAGTGGCTGTTTCATGAATGGGACCTCAAAAACGGTCCCCTACTTTGCAGTCTGCGGCAGCGAAGTCGCCTACTTAGCCCGCGTTTCAGAGACAAAAGCGTCTCTAATCCGCGCAACGGTGGGAAGCCTTCGGTGGGTTTTCTGCAGTAGCAAGAAGAGCCCCGCAAGGAAATATCTTTGCCGATCCTGTCTCACGACATGGGGTTAATTCGGCTTCCTGAACATGGAGGCGCCTTCTCTTTCCTAGGCAACTCCAGACTTTTCCTGCCCAGACGAGAGAAGGGCAGACCTTCGCTTTCACCCCCGGCGCTTCAGCTTAAAAGTCCCCGCGAAGCATTTGTTGAATAGCAATGTGTTGATATCCACGCCCCAGGAAGAAAGGCGCCACCTCGGGCTGGCATCTGGCTCAGACGAGAAAAAGAGGGGAGGGGAGGCGACAACAACATCCCGCTACGCCATTCCCGATTGGCAGCTAGGCGCTTAAACGGGAAAGCAGGAAGGACGGGTGCAGCTGAGGAGGCTCTCGCGCGCATGCGCGCATGCGAGCTGTGGCGTGGGGATGTCTCGGGCTTCCTTCGCCTTGGCTCCTCCCCCTTCCAACCTCCGTGGTGGCTAGTCTTTCCCTCAGCGCAAAAGCAGTCCGTGGCGGGAGGGGGGGAAGAGCGGAGTGGCTCGAACGCAAGCTGTTGCCTTGCCTTCCGGGGATCCGCCGCCAGTCTCGCGAAGGGAGTCCAGCGCGCGCTTTCCCGCCTGGGACTGAGCGACTCATCGAACAGCCAGGGCAGCTGCGGGACAAGGGTGGGTGGCTACGCCGTGCAGAAGTGGCCGGGAAGGGGAGGTGCGTTGCCCCGACAGCGCTGTGAGGAAGGACGAGCCTGATCGGCGAGGTTCATTGTCGCCGGGGCTGAGCGAGGTAAGCGAGCCTGCTTCTCTTCCTCCCGTTGCTCCTTCATCCATTGCCCGGTGAGGGCCTCCGTCCCTCCGGAGGGTATCCTTCTCCTTCCACAGAGGAGCCTGGGCATCGTGAAGAGGAGCCGGGCGACAGGTGCAAGCAGAGAGAGGAACCGCCGTACCGCGCCGCCTGCTGCTCCTGCTGCTGGTGCTGGTGCTGCTGTCCAAGGTCTGTGCTTTGTAATCGCCCCTTCTCGGCTCGCCTTTTGCGAGGGCTGTAGAGGGAAAGGGCGAGAGGCGCAGAATCTCTTACCTCTCCTCTCCTCTCCTCGGCTTGGCCGGCCCCGCTCCTTCCTTCACGCACTCACAGACTGCACTGCAGCTCCCCATGGCAACAACCTCAAGGGATGGTGAAGCCCGGGGGGCACCGACTGCGTACAGACCGGGCGTCCGGAGATGTCAAGTTTAACCTTCCACAAGTTTTCGTTCGTTCTTTTTCGAAACGCAGTAATTGGGTTCAAGGAGGGCAGCGGCAGGAAGCCGGCTCTGCAGAGGGTCCTCCTGGCTGGTGTGTTGGAGTTTGGGATTTACCTATATCGTACATCCGAAACTCTTATCGAATGGCTATGCAATCTGTATCATTAAAATAGCACCTCCTATCTGCAGTCTCTGAAAGTGGTACAGGCCATATTGTCATTTAAGGATGTGACATGTGTTAATAAGGCCTATGGGCCAGCCTGAGACATACTGAGAGGAAAAACCGGAGCTACCTCTAGCTACTATTTAGACAGAGAGACAGATGTTTCTGCTTTGTAGAGCATTCTTTTGCATATTTATAAGCCTTTCAGAATATAGCAGGTTTTTTTGTCTGTGTCCATGTTGATATATCCTAGAGGTGGCAACTAGCATTATCATTTTAGGAAACAAATGAATAGACATTTGTCCATAAAACTTTATGTCATAATAAATATATCACTCATTGTTAATAACTTCAATACTCAGTTTTTGCCATAGCAGGCTCCTGAAATGATTTCATTAATAAAATGTATCCTGATCTTACCAAATTCTTTCCTTTCTGAGAATTTAACAAGATAACCATGACAATTGACCAACTGACAATTTATATTGCCTTTTGTATATCTGTTCTTATTTTCCCACTAACGTAGTTTAGTATACCTAAGATACTTAATGTATCCTATTCTTATATATGTAAATTTATTTTTGTTTTTAGAGAATGGACAATAACAGCTCAGCTGCCTTACAAATACTGAATAATTGTTTAAAAACCAGTTGACAGTTTAGTTATCTAAAGAAATTTTCAGTGATACAGTAAAATATCAGATGTAATTATCAGAATATGTTGTGATACTCTTAGAAGGGTTTCTATTTAGACAATAATGGAAATGAGAACTTTTCTAGTTCTTTTTTAAAGAAAATTGGTAAATAAAGCAACAGCTTTTAAACATAAGTTGTGAACCAAAATTCATGGGCTTTTTAAAGATTCTCATTAGTTGCTTCCAGGAGAAAAGGCAAAACATTTTACACCTCTGAATTTGATTGGACAACTTGATTTACAAACATTTATTTTAATGTGTTTTGAGAAATCACAGAATAGCAGGAACTTTAGCGATAGCAAGAATTGAAACCTTAGAATAGCAAGATAAAACTTAGAATAGCAAGAATGATTATATATTCTAATAACTGTGAAAAATAAGAAGAGATAAAGAGTTTAATAGAGTAGATGCAATGTGGAAATTAGTATAAATGTCAAGCTTATTGAAAGTATATCTCATATTTCCTAACACCTGGTTATTAAGTAACAATAATAAAATGCTATACATAGCAATAGAGTGGAAGAATAGAATATTAGCGTTTTTACCCAAGAGTGTGGATTCAAACTGTGCTGCTTGCTCATTTACCTGTGTAGAAGGTTTGAATGCATAATATATCAGATTCACTCTTCATTATTTCTCATTCTACTGCTCATGGAGAGAAACCTACCTCAAACCCTGTGGAATTGCTGCCAATCCAAATAGACAGTATAAATGAACCAGTGGCTTGACTTGGTGTAAGGCAGCTTCCTATGTTCTAGTGATTAGTTTTCCTAAGAATCTAAAATTACTTCAAAACAGTTCAAGATAATAGATTTTGATGTGTCAAAGCTTAAAATGCTATAGAAATGTCAAGATTTGCTCTGTAACATCAATATATTTTGATGTGGGAAAATCTTTAAAAATCTCAACGAGAGATGAGTATGAATGTGAAGTTAAAAGCTTTTAGACTATCATTTGTGTTTAGTTGTGGTTATTTTCCTTCACATCTATATCTGTATCTGTATAATAGTTATATAATAATTTTATATAATATTGCTCTGAACATGCATGCAAATTAATATTCTATTCTATTAATTAAACATTTACCATTCACATTTTATGAGCATAATATTTTATATCCTCCAGAAATCTTCATCAGAAACAGGTCACTTTAGTTCTAATTTTTAATATACCATGTAAGCTTATAAGGTAACTATTTACCTAGTCAACACAAACATTTTGTAGTTTTTGTACTGAGTTGTAGTATTTTTTTATAGAATATATCACTGAAAAATTATTTGATAAAAATGAGTGCCATGACCAATTCTAAGGAATACAATAAACAGTAATCCCTTTCATTTTTAAATCTTGGAGGATACTATCTTATGTTATATATTCATTGTTTGTGTCCAATAGATGTGATAATATTAATGATGGATGGATGGATAATATGATTAATATATCAATTTTATACACACATTAATATTAATAAAAAGAATAAATGCATATACAATGCCACAAGTACAGATAAAATTAAAACTATTATTTATTAACAATATTAACAGATAATACTCTGTACTGGATATTACCTGATGCAGAAACATAAAGAACATATTGTTAAATACAGTACATTTACAGTGGCTGTCAATATATTCTGGTGGCATAGTTTGAAATCTTACAAGTTTCCTAGAGAAGAAAGCCTGTTTCTGTAAATAAGTTGCTATTTTACCATGTGATTTAGATGAAATATACTTAATTATAATTTTCCCTATTTGGTGCCATTAGTGAAACGCATGCCACAAAAAATATTGCATCCTGATATGTAATTCATTAATTTAGCATTACATTATGTAAAGTATAGAATTGTAGCCAGGCTTCTTTCTTTATTCTACTAGTCTAAACAGCACAATTATATTAAATAAATATTTTTCTAACTTTTATATTGGAAAAATATGGAACAATAGATATATAAATATTTACATTTAAAAAAAGGAGACCCACTTCTCTTCTAAATACTGCATCAGTAGTACTGTGTAGTACTGCCAGAAGTATATGGAAAAACATATTCTGAATTCTATCAAATTCATTTCTGTGTGAGATTTTCCATATCAACACGTATTTAGCATTGCTTCTAATAGATGAAAATCTTCAGTATCGTTTATATGTGGGTTGATACAGATTTTACTGACAAAAATGAGTATGCAGTGGGTACAACTAGCACTGCTCATTGTAAGTATTCAGTAACCATTTATAATGGCTATAATATTGGAAAATGCCACTTTAGTTTTATAAACAAACAGACCTTTCTGTTTACAATAAATTCCAGATTTAGAAAATAATCGCATGCAAATAATAAAATAGCAGCATAATATCTGCATTAAGAGTCAATAGAACCTTTTGAGAACCAATTGAAAAAACAAAAAGAAAGGATACTTTCCTCAACTATGCAATTTAAGATATAGAATTTGCATCTGTTTTCAATATTTGAGAGATGTACAAACTCTTGATGGCAAGTAATACATATGTAGAGTATGCTCACAAGTAGTTGCTATCCAGCAGTAGCATATTTCTTATTAAATCCACCCTGCAATGGATATTAAAGCTAATATCCACTTATTCATTTTTGTAGTTTACTAGCAGATCTTATGGACATGTTTTGGCAAAAAGCTTATTCTGCAGTGGTCCTGAAAATCACCTCCAAAACTTGTGTAAAGATTGGAACAAATACACTATCAGATAACAAACAATACTATATTTCTGTTGGATTAACTAAAGTTATAAAAAGAGTTAGACCAATTTGAACAAAAATTCAGATAGTAGAAGATGTAGCTCCTGTGGCTTTACCTAGATGGATTCTTTTCAATGAGGTCTTTTATTTTTATGTCACTCACAGTTATCCAGTTTGGTAGAACATCTAATCTAAAGTAATCTAAAGTATGTAGCATTTTGCTCCACAAGACAGCTGACTTCTTTCAAATGTACACATTCATATAAATCTAAGATGATTTTGCTACTGGATCAAGGCTTTCCAGTGTTGATTTCATCTACATAACCTCTCATATCCCATGATCTTTCAATTAAGTTCAGGTTGCCTGAGATTTTTTCTAAATTTAACATATATCCTTTTTGTTTATATATTTTTTTCAAGCTCTTTTATTTATTTGACTTATTCAGCTTGAATAACTGAATGTAATTAGGACTAAAGTCCACATGAAATCTAAATTAGATGTGAAATTCCTAATAACATAGCTTTTCCAGAAACTTTTCATTTTTCCTTCAGTCCAATATAAACCAAGAAAAAGATTACATAATATATACTGTAGTATGTTTTTCACATGAGTGGGGTACATAGGGGCTGTAACTATCTACTTTTGCAACTAATAACAGATTATTATTATCAGCCAATCACTTTAAATAAAAAATAATTTTAATAGTTTTAATTTTAATTTTATACATTTTAAATGAAATATTTAATTTAATTAAATATTTGTCTGGTATGGTAAAAGGTCTCCTGTCTTGGGTGAGGGGTTGGACTAGAAGACCTTTAAGACTCTTCCAACCCTATGTTTCTATAATTCTATGTAGATGCCATAAGCTAAATAAATCAATAAAATTCTGTGAATTTAAAATACTTTAAATGCAATCAACTTCAGTATTCCCCTTCTGAAATAAAATAGGCATTATATTCATTTATGTATAAGTCTACAAT